TCTCAAACTCTCTCTCTCAAACTCTCAAACTCTCTCTCTCAAACTCTCTCTCTCAAACTCTCTCTCTCAAACTCTCAAACTCTCTCTCTCAAACTCTCAAACTCTCAAACTCTCTCTCTCAAACTCTCTCTCTCAAACTCTCAAACTCTCTCTCTCAAACTCTCAAACTCTCAAACTCTCACTCTTTTTTTGCTCCAGACGCCATCCATCATGTCCGAGTACACTGTCGTGAAAGCCTCGGCGCTCAAGCTCAAGGGCGCCAAAAAGGCAAAGAAAAAGGCCAAGCGATCTCACGCTGAGGCTGCCGAGAGCAAGGCCCTCAAGACCGTTCGCCACGGTACGGTCCGCTGACTAAATGACTGCTCGGTTTGGCGCCAAGAGCTCACCACACTGGCTGATTGTAGGCGCCTGGTGGCAGGTCGCCGCCCCTGAAGAATTTACCGGCAACCTGCTTCTTGAGTGTGATGGCCGCTCATATGTAATGGCCATTGACGATGGCTCACTCACGGCCTCGGAAGATGTGGCCAAAGAGCGCGACGGCCCGGTGGCGCAGGAAGTCTTTACTATCATCAAAGTCTCTGATGCGCGCATTGCCATTAAGACCGCCTTCAACCGCTACGTTACGGTGGATGACAACGACGATGGCGTAGTCTATGCCCGGGCAGAAGCTATTGGTGCGCTGCAGCTCTTCCAAGCAGTGTGGACTGATGAGGTGTGTGTGCGAAAACTTGCATTCTGACGCGTCGAACGCCAGTCCTCTCTGCGACGAGTGCATCAGCCCTATGGTGGTGGGCGTCAGAACAGCCACACTCCACTCATCTCCGTGGCCCATTTCTGATGTCGTGTAGACACACGTGTCCTTGCGTGGACCTAACAAAAAGTTTCTCAGCATCCTGCCGGGTCGCCGGTGTACCTGCAACAAGAATCAAATGGATTTGGGCACGACTTTTCAAGCCTTCTCCTGCGCCGAGCGCAAAGAGAAGAAGAAGAAGGACGACTACAATATCGAAGGTGGTTCATTGAAGAACATGGAAGAAGCATTCGCCATGAGGTCAGATGGCAAAGGGCCGGGTTCTTTGCACTATCCCTGCCTTCACCTCGCTCGCAATCAGGCCTCAACGCTAGCTTGAGGCCAGCTCAGGACAACACTCCCTGACTTTGGGTGGGTCTGCACATGGTGCTTTCCTAGGTTTCAAAGCGGTAAAAACGGCAAGTGGCAAGTGAGCGAAGAGGATGCACGGGATTTGGGGTCAGCACGTCGCCAGGGCCGCCTGCACGAGAGCCTTCTTGACCGCCGTGCCAAGGTCAAGGCAGATCGATATTGCAAATAGTCTCGCCAACGCCATCCGCCACTCTGACACACAGCGGCAGCCACGACAAACATGTAATCAATCGATAATTCAAATGTCAATTCACTTTAAACCAAGCCAACATCATGCTATTCCTCTTCCAGCGGCTGGCCATCAACGTCGTCATCGTCATCGTCTTCCTCCTCCAATGGCTTGCCGTCTACGCCGTCATCGTCATCATCTTCCTCCATCGGTACGCCGTCCACGTCCTCATCCTCGTCTTCTAGCGGCACACCATCCACGTCCTCCTCGACAATCTTCGGGTCCTGCGCTGGTCCTGTACCAGCATCCGCGTTTGATGCCTGCCACCAAAAGAAGCACCATGCCATATGATGCAACATTGCCTGCCGTGGCATGGTTCCGACTCACCAAAAGAGCACCCCAACGGAGGCCGGCGACTGACCTGGTCTTCACGACCCTCGTGGAATATCTTGTGTAAACCATCGAGAAAGTCGCGGGGATAGATGGTCCATTGTTGCCAAACATTGAGGCACGAGATGACGTGTTTCTACCCCGAGCCATGCATTGTGTACGCAGAAAACCACAGACGCGCAACCATGAGCTGTCTGAAAACACGAGTCAAAAATATCTGTGCCCCCAATGCAGCATGACGCGCAGCTGGACAAACAACCAAAGAGTCGGCCGTCATCACGCTAGTCCGAAAGCCACGGATGATGGATGGTTGCATACCCGAAATTGCTCGGCGCGAAGGCGGCCTGTGATGGCACGGTAGGCCAGGTGCAGGTGATAAAAGATGTTCTCAAGCTTGCTTTGTAGCTGCAGGCGGAAAAAACCGGCCTTCTTCACCTTGGCAGTGCTATTGTGAAGAATGTCGGAGATGAGAAATAGGCGCGCCACCTTGAGCGAGATGGGTGTTTCGAGCATTGTCAAGGATTCTTCGATCGCATCCACAATCTGCACGGTGACGAAAAAGGCCAAATGAGGTTCTGATGCTGACTCGGGAGGAGAAAAGAGCCAAAAAGCTTGGCAGCGATAGACACAAAAGCTGCGTGGGTGCGCGCAGCGGAAGCAAAGCGCCTCAAGACCCTCGTACCTCCTGGAAGGCCTCGGAGTGCATCATGCAGAACCACATGGTGTCGCCAATGTCCCGGCGTTCCGTCGTCATGTTTTGCAGGCGATTCTCAAGCTCATCTCTTTCACTACAGCATCACGACAATCATACAATAGTTCATGCGTTGGCATACCAAGTCAGAGCACCGAGCGACGCACTCGATGGAATACGACCACACTTGCCCGCCCATGCGACCAAGCCAGAGTGAGTGAGGGCAAGCATTAGCAGACCTGGGTGTCAGATGACTGCGTGAGGATGTGCCAGTCTTGTCCATGCCCGGCGGTATCCACCACGGGCCGTCCTCATACATGCGAAACTTGGTCTCTTTCCAGGAGTCGGGGTCCTCGCCCTGACCGCATACACAACATTCAAGGAGAAGAAAAGGTAAGCAGGGACAAAGAAAAAAAAAATCAGGCTTGGACCGTGGCTACAGCTGACCGATTGCGCGAAGAGAAAAAACAGACCTGCAGGAGAGAGAAGAGCTTCCAGCGATAATAGACGTGATTGGGCGACTTAAACGCGGTCAAAAAGGCCAACTGCTTGTCATGGAGGGTTTGGGAACCAGCACGCCGTAAGTAAGGTCTTGCAGCGTACGCAAATCCCCAAAGCCCTGGGTTTTCCCACAACACACTGGCCGTCATCACTTGAATGCCGCACCTGTGGATCGCGTTCAATGCTTTGGATGAGCAGCGTTTCAAAGTGAGGGCCATGGTTGATGACGTATTCAATCACACGGTGAATGAGCTGGCGAACAGCGGGGTCCGCTGGCGTTTGCACCTAGGGTAAGACCGGATGAGGAATAGAGAGTGGAGCCAGGCCAGATTTAGCTCCAAGCAACCCCTGCTGCTACCCTCGGCACGACGACTGGTAAGCTGAAGGGCAAAGGCATGTGCAAGCTTACTCGGACTACCGAATGCCGAGTGTGATAGGCACGCTCTTCTTCGTCGATGCGACCAGACGGAGGCGGCTTTAGGGGCTGTGCGTTGAAGGGCAAGCCATAATCCTCCTTGACGGCCTCGGGCTGGATATAGTAGGGTTTGGGAGGGATGGGGACGGCCTTGGCCCAACCGGTCTTGATATCGTGCCCCTCGACGAGGGCGCCGTTCAGTTTTTCCAGGGCTCGTTGTGCATCAGCCCGGCGCATAAAGGCGACAAAGCCACAGAGGTTGTCGCGCACCTCGGAGGGGTGACGCGGCCACATGATTTTGACGCTGGCCAACGGCCCATGTACGCCAAAGAGCTGAGCCAGCAGGTCCTCCTTGAAAGTTGTGGGCAGGTTGTTCACGTACAAATTCGTGGTTTCGGACTCAGTGGGTGTCGTGGCATCGAGTGATCGCGCCAGGGAATCGCTGGCACGAAGATCAACATTTCCATCATCGCGCCGCGCCTCGTTCCGCGCCTCGCGTCGTTCCTGCTCGCTGTACCAAGAAACGCCACGCGCCCGCCAGACAATGTCAAAGAGTCACACGTGAAGCTAGATGCAGGCAATTATCTGCCATTCACACGATGCTCACAACCATGCACCGCCGCTGTTGCCGTCTCCCCCGCGCCAAAGCACCGTCACTACGTCTACATACCGCTTTAGCTTTTCGCGAAAAATTTCCATGTTGGACTTTGGCTTTTTGCGCTTGGGCTTGTTCTCTTCCTCGATGTCTTCACCAAAAATATCTGTCAAGTTGGATGGACGGCTGGACTTTGCTGACCGAGCCAGCAGCTGCTCTGAAGCACTTGATTGGGCGCTGCGGCCATCTAACGAGCACATGATTGAGGGGTTGGGTTGGGTCAAGAAAAGTCAGCACGAGTTCAACCTAGATCCAAGGCGCAAGAAGCCAGGACCCTAGCGTCTTGACTCACCATCATTAACGACACCACCGCGCACAAACCCCTTCTTGGGCTCATCATCTGCGAATTCAGCGAAAAAATCTGCAAAGCAAGCCGCAGCCTCTTCTTGGTCTCGCTAACAAGGAGTCATCATGGCATGCAAGGGTCAAGATGCACACATCTTCACAAGTAGTGGCTTGAAGGGATTGACACGATGCACTCCTCACCTTGCGACGAGCTTCTTCGGCCCGCTTCTTCTCTTCAAAGGGGTTGCGTGCCTGGTATCATGGAATGGCAAGATTGAGGCCACGCATCGAGAGAAAATTCAGAGAGGAAGCAAGGGTACGGGGCGGATAGACAGTGAAGTGGACATGTTCATGGGAGTGTTGGCACGGTACCTTGAAGGCAAATGCCTTGACAGCCTCCGCCTGACAAAGACACGGCCAAAACGGTGTAAGACGGATTCATGACACCCAATACGACACTGCCAGGGCTGGGCTGCGGATCCCATGAGGCAGCCAAACTAGACTTTGAACACCTCCCTTGTACGCTGTCTCACGACCCAACGTTGTCTCTCACCTTTTTCGGAGGTTTGGCCCCCGAAGACCAGGGCATGATGATGAGTTAGGAAAGTGGTTGCTGCACAAGGGGTACAAGACACCAACATGAATCAGGCGTCACCTCCCGCAGCAGGTCAGATCAACAAATCAAGCACCAACGCCATCCGCATCTACATCTACAGGAACAATGACAGCAACAGCAACAGTAGCACTGCCCATATCTGTAGCGGCGGGAGGTGGGGGGAGGGGGGTGTGCAAACGCCCTTCACCCCCCTCCCTCCGCACACCCGCTGCCCTCTCGGCACACCCACCTCTATCGCGTCGCTCGTGTCCCTCTCGATTTCAAAAGGATGACAAATCCACTACGTGTGCTACCAAGTGTTCGTTTTCAGGATTTGCTGCTTTTGTGACCGTTACGCACATCCTGGACTTGTGCATCTGGGAAATGCGCGCGGCATTGGATGCGTGAGCCGATCGCCAGATCACATTGGTTTCTGGTCTTGTGTCTGGGGGATTGATTTCTTGGTTTGCTGTGTCTTTTCCTTAAGCCTCGTTTTTGCAGCAGCCTGTTCACAGAAACAGAAAGGGAAAGGCAGCGTCCGTCTTCTGTGCTGTACACGACGATCCGATTCTCAAACAGCCCCAAGACCGCATCTCTCTGTCTGTGTGTGTGGTGTGTGTCTCCGCCCCCCTCTCTCTCTCTGTCTTCCTCTGTGTGAGGCGCTATCCGGCAACTTTGAGCAAAAAGCCTGGAGTTTGGTGCGCTTTGCGAGCCACCTTACCTTGGCAGAGGATACCATGGCGAGTAGCGAGGCTGGTGAAGGACTATCAGCCGTTCCACGTCGTGGCGAGATTGGCCCGGCTGAGGTCGAATTCCTTGCCGAGGACACGCCCATTCGCATCATACCCAACTTCTCTAATGCGACATTCGAGCTCATCCAGGTTTGTGGTTCTTCCCTTCATATTTGTGCTTTCCTTCTTGCTTTTTTTTTTTTCCTGCTTTTTTTGCTGCTTTCGCCTGCTTGCGGGTGGGAGACTTTTGAGCCATGCACTCACGCAGAACGATCCGCCTTGGCGCGCTCAATTGTCTAGGGATCGATCGGCCCGTTTCATGCCGGTCGCCCCGTTGAGGTACCTCTCTGGCTCGGAATCATGCTACGTACGCGACACCGATGCTCCATCATCATGCCTTCTTGGATGAATCCTGGTGAGATTGCATTTGGGCGCGTCTTCTCCTGTAGCCTTTGTGAGTTGGCCTCCAGCCCTGACGAACCTTGAATGCTAGACGCACTGCAGCAAATGCTTGATGCGGAACGAGAAAAAAAATCTTTTACGGAGCTTCCACCGCATTTTCGCGAAGTCACGCTGCTTCTCTTTGAACAGTGCGTGCATCCCCAACTTCGGTCCATGTTCGCCTGCTGGCCCTATTCCACAGACATGTGCTCACCCTAGCTACATTGACTCTCTCTATCCATAGTGCCGCAGAGGACATTGCTTCAGCAGAAGAGGTGCGACGTATTGTGCGCGACCTGGAGGACGTTCGATCGACCAAACTGAAACACGGCGTTGGTGATATCAAGCAATCCGTGGCCGTTGGCTTGCAAAACATTACCAACATGGAAATTGCCAGCTTTCGTCTCTTTGCCACCAAGGCCATGGACGCTTTCTACACGCTCACGGCTGAGCCTGAGTGAATTGAAGCCATCGCTTGGGTGATGGCTGGCTTGCGCGTGCTGTTTTTGCAAAACCATCTTCAGTTGTGAATCCTTGTGTGCATGCCTTTGTGTGTGTGTGTGTGTGTGTGTGTGTGTGTGTGTGTGTGTGTGCATGCCTTTGTGTGTGTGTGTGTGTGTGTGTGTGTGTGTGTGTGTGTGTGTGTGTGTGTGTGTGTGTGTGTGTGTGTGTGTGTGTGTGTGTGTGTGTGTGTGTGTGTGTGTGTGTGTGTGTGTGTGTGTGTGTGTGTGTGTGTGTGTGTGTGTGTGTGTGTGTGTGTGGTGTGTGTGTCTATATTACATAAAAACGACCGACCAATGCTTACTGTGGACTTGGCCGTGAGGGAGTGCCAGGTTAGCATCTGAATGATCTTTGAACGCGCACGAGCAAGCTGGCTTGTGTCTGTGTCTGTCCGAGTCTATTCCCGGCCACGCTAGTGGTTGGTGTTCTGTTGTAGTGCATTTGGCAGAGTTGCCTGACGTTGTTGGACGAGCTTTCGACCATAGTGCAGCCTTGCCTGTGGCAAGCACACAGGTCTTGGGACCTCAATGCTTGACTGATCTGACTCAATCGAAATTGGTAAGAATCACTGTCAATTTCACCATGCACGCCCGCGACGCCCAACGGAGCTCGCCGCAACGACACGATGAGGGGAAAAAAAAATCTCAACATGACACAAAAGGTCTTCTGCCTTGCTTTCTGAGAACACTTGGAAAAAAATATAGAAAGATAATACATGATGGACATGAAGCCTGACATCATCTCCCCGCATCGACCGGGTTTAGGAAAATTAATACACACTGTTTTCTTTGTCCATGGCAAAAGCTTCGACCAGGGCCGAATTGACAGCGCTGGCTGGCATCCACTCAGCCAATCTGTGTGATAAGCGAACGATAATAAATGAAAACGAGAATTCAACATGGATGGCAGACGCTTCTATGGTGGAACTTCGCCTGCCAGCTCAGCCGGGGACACTTACTCTTCGGGATCTCCCGCTTGGCGCACCAGATACTCGGTTTTCCCCGATGCCTGTCGAGAACTCAAGATCTGGTATGGATACAACCAAGCAATGCCCAGTGGCAAGTCAGCAATGACGTGCAAAAGTGTGGAATCGACCGAATGCATTTGGACATGGTTCCCAAACACGGTGACATCTTCTCACCTCGTCGTCCTCTGACTCGGCGTCCGGCTCTGACTCATCATCATAGGAGATGGGCTGTTGTGCTGCCTTACGCTGCCGGCTGCTACGACGCGCGCGGGTGGAGGATTCGGCTGCCAATGCCTGAGTTTCTTGCTGACGAGCCTCCTGATGTTCCCGAGCCTGGGCTTGCATGGCCTCCCGCAATCCCTCGTCAATGCCTATGTGTCCGTTTGCGTGGTTAATGCCAAGTGGGGAAGGCGTGTACAAACCGCCATCCATTGGCAACCAATATGTAGGTAAGGGCACATGAACGTGTGGATGAAGACTCACCATCTAGGCCCTCTGTGCCCAATGCAGCTTGAACAGCGTCCACAATCTACATGGTTCACGACCCGAATAAAGAAATAGCGCGGCATGAGCCTTCGACGCTAGCTAACCATTCGATGAAGATATACTCGTCTCGGGTTTATACAAGTTTATCAAACCTTGCTGGCCAGCTTGTTGGCGGCGCTGTCGAGCATGAGCTCGTCCACTTGCTCCATCAAGACCACCATGCATCGGAGTTGTTCCTCTTCGAGTGAGGTCCAAGACACAAGGCTCAAAGCCTTGACAGCCAGGACATGAATATGCCAAGGCGATAGGTGGTGGGCACATGTCGCATTCGTGAGCATAAATGCAGTCAACAAACCACAGTTACAAGCAGTTCTTTTCAGCACGCATAGCGATACCTTAAGCAACACTTTGTTGTCTGGACTCTCTGGCTCAGAAATGACCTCGTTGGCTAGAGCCACCGCCAAGTCACCATGCACCCCCAAGCCCGCTCGCTCAGCCTGCCAAGAGGGACATTGAGAGCAAAAGAGTGAGAGAGGTTGATAGAACGAGTAACAATTGCACGCCCGGCATGCGAGATTAATGATGATTATAAATCAAAAACCACATGGATCGTCCCATACCTGCGTCAGGTACATAAGCATATCAGCCACGGTGCTGGGCTTGACAGAGGCCATGGGACTGTCAGCGGGAGCTCGGAAGACGATGCGAAGGGTGGGAAGCATGCTCTCGCGGATGTCATCCTGTAATTGAAACACAAAACGTCAGCTGAAGCTCATTGATGAGCAAAAAATAGACAAGTCGCTGAGAATTGGCCTTTGGTACCTGGTGTGCCCGGCTTGAGAAGGCATAGGCCGGAAAAAATACGGATAGGCATTGCCGCAAATCGGTCAGATCCTCCGTGGTTGGGTTGAAGTACAGCAGCGTCAGGCGAGAGACAATCTGTGGAACCACGTCAGGTTGAGACCATGCAGGAACCGCAACGAGCTTGCACGCAACCACTCAAAGCCAATAACAGCACCAAACGTACCTGCACACTGGACAAACGGTTGCTGAGCAGCAGCTTTGCAAAGCCTTGGACTGCAACGGTCTTGAGGTCATCGTTATCGCTTTCCAAATATCTGGAAGACCCATCATCGAGCGACATCAGTGGACAGAAAGAAGACATGGCCAACCACAACCAGCCAAGGCCATTGCAAATATACGAGCCTCCAAAGGAAGCTTGGCTGTAACGAACCGTTCAAGGATAGGCACGATGGTTGTATCGCGCTCCATGGCGCGTTCTTGCTCACTGTCTGCGCTCTCTGATATCTATTTGAGTTGGATTTGTACCCAGAGGCGTGAGAAATCAAGGCCTGATCAGGCGTGACAAGACTAACTGTTAGCATTGATCAAGAGGTCGTGACGCCACACCTGGTTCCCAGTCGCAAATGCCTCGACTCCAAACACCAGGAGAAGGTCAAAGATGTGGCGGAGAGCCGTGACTTGCAGCACATCCTGATCAACTTGGATAACTTGCAGGAGGAGCAAAATGTGCTTCTGTGCAAAGACCTTGTCGCACAGAGACAGGAGGCCCAGGCAGGCAATGGCAAGGTTGCGCACTTCAGCGTCGGGGTGCTGCACTCCTGGCAAAACGATCGTGTCCACCACACCGTCTTCGTGACGCGTTTGCAGTGGCTCCTTGCTGGCAACCAGGGCGGTGTGAAGGATCTGCAGGCGTGCTTGCAATGTCTCGTTGTCGTCAAGCTGGTGGCGCTTCTCAACCACCCGCGGCTCCATTTGAGCGCGAAGGTCATCCTGCTCCGCCCGCAGCGCCTCGATACGCTTTTTGATATTCTCAGCCTCGACAAACTCCTCCGCTTCAACCCGAGCCTCCTTGTCATCCTCGAGCTAAAGTGACCAACGAAGAACATGCCGACCAACATCAAGTGATGCACTCATCAAGAGAAACAAAAACGAGCATCGCAAAAGCCTACATGAAGAATTTTGACGCGACGTTCAGCAATCTTGACTTGGAGGCGCTTCTTTTCGCTCTCTGAGATTGACTTGGTCACGTACTATAACGAGTTTTGGGCAGCCCCAGATGAAGCCAGCAAGTGTATTAGGTAAATTGATGAGATACCACGCCACAAACATGAGAGCAGAGCTGTCGTTTGCGAGCTTGTTGGCACCGCTGAATGTCGGGCGAGTCTTTGGTGCAAAGTCACAAGACGTACCGTCACCGGCTCGAGGATGTCGCGTAGAAGTTCCACCACAACAGTGGTAAACTCGGTCGCGTGAGGATGAAGGTGGGCCAGTAGCTTCATGCATGGCGCAATGACCTCGCTGACACGGAAGTGCTTGATCACAAGCGGCCTGCCGAAGTGCATCCGAGATCAAAAGCGTGGCAACGCCGGCAAAAGTGAGTTTGCGTGCCGAGGAGGTATGTGTAAAACGGTCAAGGCGCGTGGCACAATTCGAGCCATAGAGAAAGCCCATCAGAGTCGAGTCTGCGTCAACACACCGCAACTTGGCAGACAGCTCGCGACGAGCAAACTCGTTGTCTGCATCGAACAGCTCCGCTCCCAGCAGAAGTTGTTGCACAACAAAAGCATTGTTGATGACTTCTTCCTCATCGTCACTTGGCTCGTTCTTGATCTCCTGGGCCACCGCCTATCCCAGACAAAGGCCAGAATTCAGTCAAAAGAAGTATGAGTTTTGCGGACATGAGGTAGCGCGAAAGGGATGATTGCCAGTTCACACAAGACCCGGTGGAAAACCAAGGCCGCATCGTACGTGGCTATCAATCAAGGCAACCACTCGGTCGCCGAGGGCTGAGGCTGACGGCATGATGGCCTCAAGGTCTTCCTGGCGTTTTTGCTGCTGGAGAAATTTGCATGCCTGGACCCAAAAGAACGTACGAGACGGACTGAGGGCACTCAAGTTCAGAGCCTCCATGGTAACATCCTCTGCAAAAGCAAGCAGCCAGCCGACGTGTGAGAGCACGGGTTTCGCTAATGTAGCTGATTGTGGCCAGATGATGAATAAGGGCAAATCGCACGCAAAAGACCCAGTGTGCACAAGCCCAGTGGAAGTGAAAACAAACCAGAGTTTAAAATGGCTTGGCACAAGGCCTCGGCCACCTCGACGTTGAGCTCGACGTCGATGGCGTCCAGTAGGGCATCGAGCCCACCCGCCAAGCGAAACCAACTCAGGGCCAGTTTGGTGGCTTGTTTACGCACGGCATCTGCAAAGAGATGGGTAGATGACCAGTGAGAAAGACAGGTACACACGATAGCCTGGCAGATCGATGGGAGACAAACCTTCACGCTCGAGGAGACCATCGCGCAAGAGCGCGACGCGCTGAGCGACGCTGATGGCCTTGTAGTGCACTGCTTGATCCAACATGGCCTGGAGATTGGAAAATACATACGTACAAGAAATGCAAGTATAGATGAGGCGTAAAAGATGGTGTCATTGGCCCAGTTGACGGTATATAGAGTTTGCAGATGATGCCTGGTATTTTCAACTGACCTTGAAGAATGCGACTCGCACGGGGGTCTTGATATCACGGGAACGAGCCAGAATGGCGGTTTTGGTGTTTTTGGTAAAGATGAGCTGCTGCAAGACAGCACAGCGCACGTCTAGGTCAATAAACAATGAAAAGAAAAAAATAGCACAGTTGGTGAGCTGGATGAGTGAGCAGAGTGGCCTGAGTGGAGAGGCAAGCGGGCTCAAGGCGCCTGAAGCGGCGATAATTGGGGATGGCTGGGAGCTGCATACCGGCACTTGAGTCTTTGCTTAAAAGGGCAAGATAACGCTGAACAATGGGACAGTCTGCGTCATCGACCGCCTGCAAGCGCCCCGCTGCCTTTACGGCCTGAACACGCACAGCAGGAATCTTGTCGTGCATGCGATCCAATACGACAGTCTCGAGGGCATCGTAAAGCTCCTCGCTAAGATCAGTACCGTCGCTGAGACGGTTCAAAACACGAGAAATGACTTGACACGCCCTGAAGCGCACACTCTTATCCTGTGCGGCTGCAACCGCGGTCATGCGCGTCAGCACCATGTCGACCATGCTGGCACCCTCCGGTACCTACAAGCAGGCCGCCAAAGATGAGAGGAAAGCGGATTTGCAGATGATTGTCTGTGCTCTCATAAGACTGGATACAGTGGGATGAGGGGTATGCGTTGACTCGAGCCGTGTTTGTGTGATGCATTGGGGGGGGGCGGGGGGGGCGTGGACCCGCAAGGCCATGGACGCGCCTGAGAGGCCTTGTTGAGAAAGACGGTAACCATTTCAATGATGCGCTCGACGGCGGGCTCGCGCTTGAAAATCAGGAGGCAGCGCTCAAAGCAGCTGCGGAATGCAGCTGCAAACTCATCGGCTGGTTGTTCCAGCATCAAGCGCAGCAAGCCATCAGCACAGGCCTCTTGACGAGTTTTGCTGCGCTGCGCATTGGCAAAGAGCTGAGCCACCGACATGATGCTCGGTGATCTCTCGATGTGCCGTTGCAAAATTGTAATGAGAAGAGAGAAAAGGGACCCAGCTATCTACCAAGCGCTTGCACGCCCTAGACCATGTGAAGCAAAAGTGCCTCGTTTGGATCTGACGCTGCCTCGAAACTACTCAAGTTGAGACGACCAGGAGCAAAACGAGAGAAAGAAATCCAAAAAAAATTCAAAAAAAGAAAAAAAAAACTCCAAACACAAAGATCGGTTTTTGAATCTTGGCGGCAAATTTTTATCTCTAAACATAGTTGTTGTACGAAGCCTATTTATGGATTGTCAGCATGGGATCGGTCAAAATGCGGACACAAGTTGGAGGGGCGCTCAACTATGTGCGGCGGGGAGCGGGCGGACGAGCGGGCGGACACGTTAAAGGCGGCAATGGCGCTCTTGGAATGTGTTGAGGGGGCTCATACAGACATACATACATCAGCGCTGCTGGGTGGGAACAACCAACAGCTCGCAGACATACTCGAAGATAGGTAAAGAGCGCTCGCGCATGAGAATCAGGACGAAATCTCGCTTTCCCTTCCACAAACGCAACTGCAGGTTCAGACTCCCGCTCAAGTCCAACTTCCCACAGTCGAAACTTCGACCACAAGTCACAGTTTATTTGGTTTTCTTGACCTGCTGTTCCGCCGTGTGTGGATCGCAGCCGTCCTTACCCTACCAGAGTCGGGCTTGATGGTGCAAGCTGGGCTAGATTAGCTATCCGCCACTTTCCCGAGTCCTGGCACAAGATCTAATCAGAGGTAGGTCAACAACTTTGATGAATGTCAAATGGGCAGGTGGTGGTGGGAAAGATCCGGGTCAGGTCACGCCTCTTGCGCACCCAAACTCGGGCTTGATCCTGAAAGGCTGCTATGCTCTCGCGCTCGCACCTTTCTTTGCTGCCAAAGTGGTTACAATCATGAGCCATCTGCTGCGCAGACAGCGCCATGTGTCAATCTGTGTGCAACATCCGCTCATCGCTGCCCTCGGCTTGTCACCACAACAACAGAGAACACGCTTTCGCGTGCGTGCATTCTGCTCTTTGACCACCAGAGCCATGGACGCCGAGGCCATGCTCATGGCCACACCAGTGGCTCAACCAACCAACACGACAACGACCTTGAGTGGCAAGAAGCCATTGGTTGCTTCCGGGGAGCTTACCGAGTCAGAGCTCGTGGAGCTTGCCCAACATATGGCCTCGCAAGAGGGCGTGCCCGTTTTCCACACGACTGACGCCCATCATCGCGTCATTACGTACGTTGCGCACATCTCAGGGAATTCCCCGGCTTAATAGCTTGAGCTGCGGCTTGGTTTTTCACGGCAATGCACCACGCGCACAGGTTATTGACCGGTGAAGATGCGGTCAGTTGGCTGCTAGAACAAAAGCTTGTTCTCACCTCCTTGGATGGCATCAATCTCTGTCAACGAATGCTTCTGCAAGGTATTGTGCGACTCTCTTCCCCTGCGCAGGCATCAAGAACTGCTGGTACAGGCCAAGCTCTCAAGTACTTCAAAGCTGCTCAATCTCATAAACATGTGCTGGATATGCTGTGCTTGACTTTTGTCGCAATAAGGCCACCTCAAAGCCAATCGTGGCGTCGATGCCAAGGTGTTTGAAGCGAGCAACAAGGCCACCTACCGCTGGAATCCCATCCTCATGGACGATTCGTCGGATGAGGATGAAAGTGATGGTGACTACTTGGAGATTGAGGTTTGTCAAGAGAAATGTTCTGCAATTGCAATGTATGTTGCCATGCTCATTCGCCTCTGCTGGGATGCGCCGACAATGACATGATTGCAGAGCGAGGCCTACTCCAGTGGCACAGAGGATGCCATGGAGTATGCCTTAGACATGGGGCCCAGTGACCGCAGCTACATGCATGCGGACGGCATTGACCCCAACACTGTCACGCCGGATACGGTGGTTTGCTTGCCCTGCAAAACCACGAGCATTCTTCGGTACGTCCGCAGTGTCTGTGCCCACATCCACTCATGGGAGTGGGGGGGGGGAAGGGCTGCTCCAAAGTGAAGCCCGATGTTATGATGCTGCGTGATTCGTGCTTACCGATATGCGGTCTTCATCATGGCTGACAATGTGACGCTTCAGCTCAACTCCCACCCAGTTCAACGACACTTTGACTGCTTCGCCCAAAAGCCGGCGCCGAAAGCGCAAGCTCAAATGGGATTTCAAGAGCATCAACTTTGGCGTGACTTATCATGCCAGCATCTACCAGCGCGTCTCTTGGTATGTCCTCCCAACACCTTGACCCCAGTTTGTTTGTTTGTTTTTTTTGCTCCCAGCCTGCTTTTTGGGCTGCTTACTCTATTTTACCTCGATGATCGCTGACGAGGCTTCACTTGTTTTGTGTGCCGCTGCCGCTGGTTCCCAGGTTTGATATGGACGTGGCCATGGAAGCGTGGGATGAAGAAGAGGATGACGAGCGCCGGCGGCAGCTCGAAGGTCGCTGGAACCATTTTGAAAAAGACCTGCCTCCAGGAAGCAAGTGCCGCGAGCGGGTGTACTATGAGCAGGGCACAACCCGTCTCGCCGTATTGACCCGCAAGGCGCAAGAACGTGCCCGTCGCACTGGCACTGACGTCACTAATGAGCTGCTTTCCTACTTGCAAGCCGCGGACCGTTTGTATAATGATGCGCTCGCTGGTCTTTTATTCGATGGACCCCCCAACGAAGCCGCAAGTGGCAGCAGTCGACCTGCGGCAGCAGATGCCATTCGTCCCAACTCAGCCCCTGCATCCCCAAAGTTGTGCGCTGATGCCAACGTGCCTGATTATTTTGAAGCTTCCCCGTCACCCTCGCAAGCAACCTCAGTACCATCCCCGGTCCAAGCCCTACCCTCCCTGTCCGTCGCCAACGCAGGTGCAGGGCAAGACGACTCAAAGCTGGAGCTCGATGC